ATTTCCTCGCCCAAATGCTTCAAATAAAGTCTAGATTTGTTTTAGCGAAAAAAAAATTTGGGGGTTAGGTACACTTTAAAAACACGAACATATATTGCTTCTCACGTGACTAAGCGCATGTAAACATGACCGAATCAGAGATACGACGGAAATTGTCAAAGCTACCAAGCCGCTAATGCGAGATTTAACCCCATAGAATTTACACCTCTGTTAGTGCGAGATTAGTCCATCATATTACGACTACCATCGACAAATGTAAGAAACGGGACGCCGGATATAGTCGAGTCCCTACCAGAAAGAAAATTTAACCAATATCAATGTAAATTTCATTGTTACAACTAATTGTTGCATATTTTTTCTATCTTTAACCTTATACCTCGAAAGACAATTGCAATGAAAACAGTATTTCTCTAAGTTCCGCAGGTTCCGCGGTTCCGCGGTCTACATGAGTTCCGTAGATTGATCTACTTGATTTATGTTCTTACCCAAGAGTGCGTGATTGCAAAATGTATGGCCAATACGATATAGAAGCGATTGGCCAAACCTATATGTTGCTTTCTTTGCGAATCTGCTAAAGAAAGATTGTTAGATTAGCAGCTTACGTGTTTAAGGTGCCCTGTAAACCAGCTGCTTGGCGCTGAAGGAAACGAGGCAAGCCGTCTTACGATGCGAATTTTCTTCACAAGGTAGATGATCAGGTTACAGATAAGGACTACTCCTGTGGCTGATGCAACAAGAAGCCATAAAGAGTTTGAATCCATCGCACATCCTTTGAAATACAGCTTCACTTTGCAAAACTATCGCTAGCTTAAAGTGTTTAAACGGTGAACATTCTCAACCATTTGGAAAGCGCGAATAAGCCTGATGGCACCGGCAAGGTCAATGGCACCGGCAAGGTCAATGGCAGAGAGTACACATTGCATTTGTGGTCACGAGGTCAGTTTATGCAGAACGTGTGTGTGACTCCACTAATGTTACTACAGTATTGTGACCTAATTTGGTCACAGCGTCAAGATCGCTGATTCAGTAAATTACAGAAGCACTGTTTAAAGCTTTTTGTTCAAGGCATTCCCTCTCTTGTTTTCTCACAGGCAGCCTAAACTCGGAAACCGAAGTTACGCATCGGTCGAAATATTAAGATTTGTATAAAGGATAAAAGGGTTCCATTCTCAAGCCTTAAAACTACAGATGCGTAGAAATGAAAACAGACCTACCCATGACCTATCCTGTTTCAGGTGTCTGTTGCCAGGCTCCCGACGAGCGCGAAATAATGAATTCGACGAGGGAAGCGAGCAGGGCGAGGTGGAGGAACCTGTCCCAGGGGGGACACTAGGGCGGGAAGGCCACAACGGGAACGGGAGTGCACGCGGGAAACTTTCTCGGGTCCCGTCGTGTCCCCAAAGACAAAATAATTAGATGGGTATTTTCGCAAAGGACGGCGACGTCAATAATTAACTTGAACATCGTAAAAGCTATTCACAAAAGCAATGA